GCCTCTCTCTCTCTTCCTGCCCAACGCGCGTCCCATCCCCCTGGAGACGGCTGTCTGCTGCTCGGAAACGACGGCGGTCGGATACTTCTCTCTAGCGGTCTCGTTGCCGGCCTCGGCGCGCCCTCTTGCCCCGCGTCCCACCCGCTCCGCCCCGCCACCACTCTGCTCTACTGGTGTCATGGTTGCGCTGCCCCCCCCTCCTCAAGATCCTCCGCTCCGACCCCTCCTCTCCTCATTCGCCGCTGCCCGTTCCTTCTCTCCAGGGGCAGCCGCGCAATGGAATGTGGCTGGACAGGGCCGTAATCCAGTGGCGCTGTGCGTCACCCGGACCCGGCCAGCCCCGGCCAGCCCGGGCAAGCCGCGGTGCGATCTTGACACCAGGGGAACTCTGGTGAATTCCATCGGTCAGATAAGGTTTAGGTCACCGGCACAAGCACTTTCAAAGCTCCATTGCTAGTTTTAAAGATAGCTAATACGACCTATGAAGCGCAAGATTTGGAACTAGACCATTACCATTCAGGCACAATACTTTGGAATAATTTGGAACTGATTGCGCCCTAATGATTGAATTCTCAACTGTAGAACCAGGCGAGGATGGTAGCGCCAATGTGAGTGACCTTAAATTTAATTTGCCGATGGATTTCGCTGGAGCTGACCATCAAACTGCAAAGCCAAGCTCGCCGGTACCTGCCATAGCGAGGCGACGACACCTCCAAAGTACTGATTTCCATCCTCCGCGAAAAAAATAAAAATACTGGAAGTACGGTCCAGGGGAAATGTCAACGGGTTCCAGTTCTAAACGGCGTGACAGTAAGATGTCATTACAAAGTAACGACAGCGAACGGGCAACATGGCAACGCTCAGTTTGCCCGTTGCTCTTCTTGAGACGTTGCCAGCGGCTTGAACCTGACGTTGCTGAACTGGAACACGTGGATCACGGCCTGGAGGCAAGTCGAACCACGTCAAGCCGAGCAGGTCTCCTGCTGCCAAATGTCAAACACACGGCGAGGTCAGGTCGCCTCGCGGGGTCATGGCGGGGCACCGCGCGGCGACAATGCCCTGCCCCCCTGCCCCCCT